AATATCCTAGCGGATTGCAAGACATCCAGCTTTGTTTGGTGATGGGTAGGGAGTAGACATGTTCTTAGCTATAACTTGATGATGCCAATCTCGCTAGCTTGTACCATTTCTTAGCAATTACTAGTAGAACACGAAAGCAACTTTTATTTGTTTTGAAGTAAAGTTGCACTAAGGACTTCTTGTTATTAGTTGAAATTTGAGAAGGGATATCCTGTCTGTCACAGTGAATAAAATTAGAGAAGACTGTTTTTAGCATCCATTCAAAATATATACCATCACTCTATCTGACAGCATATTTGTCTAGTATCTTCAAGAGCGCACTTTTTTTTGAGGTAAAAAACAGAGCGAGAAGCCTTGTTCATGTATATATTAAACAAAATCAGAAAGAGAATTTACAAATGAATTTCAAGAGCGCACTTTATTATTATATCAATAAATTCTTACAATGAATTCCAATTCCCTGGTTTATGCCTTATAGATGAAAGCATTGTTTCTGGCGCTGTACAGGATAGCTAGAACATCGCCATAATTAAGGTGTTTCATGTTTATTTAAAGTTGACTTTTCATCTATAGTGAAAAGGAATTTGGATCCTCTCCACTAAAAAAAATAGTGGAGAGATCACTACTTTTAATCTCAATCGTTGATTATTTAGTGGGCGGTTATGATATAATCTAAAATCTAACACTCACCATAGCCCCGTGTATTGCACTCATTCCTAATTTGCACTCAAAGAAAAAATCACCACCATCAACTAGATAGTTAATGGTTGTGATTATGTAGTGGTCCCTCCACTACTTTTTAGATAGCGGAGAGGATCCGAATCCAGTGAAAAGAGATATTGTAGCCATTTTTTGCTTATGCATCAGATCATTGAGGAGAACCAAACCTTCTAAATTATAGGATTGAAAATATGTCGATATTTTCTATAACTAGTATTTTAGCTCGTGCTAAGCACTGGCCTTACCGCCATTGTCCCGATTCATGTTTGCAATTTTATCGTTTACAAAAAAGGTCTCTAAAATTCACGTACATATCTCCCTGTCCAAGGCACGGAAATGCCTCCTTATTCGAAGCACAGAGATGCACATAATGCACAGCATCCAAATGATTATTTTAAGGCAAAACAGCTAGAGTTTTGGTTTGGGCGGACTCGGAACTTTTGTGATGAAAATTTGTGGCATTGATCATACTGGTCATAGTTATTTATTAAGAGCCGAAAATCTCTCTCTATATATAATCCAAGATTTTAGGTATGGCAGTTATAATGAGTTCGACAGGTAGTATTGTAATTAAGAAAGTAAAAAAGTCTATGAAATGGATGGAAACTGAATTTTTCTACACCTAATCTTTCACAAACATTTTTCGAACGGTGTTTTTTTATACCAAAATTAGTATTATTTATACTTTTTGTATTATGAAATTGTTAATCTTTGTGCATATCATTTTCTATTTTTATTATTTTCCTTTTCAATTAAGTTTCAAAGATAGAAACTTGCATAAAGTACATTATTTGGCTCTAACAAATTAAACTAGTAAACTCTACATACACATAGGTCATGATGAAATAAAAGCAGACATGTTATAAGAATGATTGAATTGTTCTAGTATTAGTTAAAAGTAAACTTTAATTTTTAAATTAGTACCAGACCTCATGTAGCATCACCCAATTGTGAATAGACCTTATGTAGTGCTATTTGTTGCAAATAGAACTCATGTAGTAATATCCGAGGTGCGAATTCACCTTTGGTGAACCTTTTAGACTCTTTTATAAATGTCAAAAGAAAAAAACAATAGGGACTCTATTATCATCAAGAAAACTATAGAGGATCTATCCGTCCCCTCAAACTTTTTTAGGGATATTACGAGTAAAAAAATTCACTCGAGATGTGTATTAATTCACAACAAATAAAACTACACTTAGGGCCCGTTTGGATAATGGAAGTATTAGAAATAAGAAGTATGTTATAGAAGTAACTTTCAAAGCTATGAAGTAGAAAATAGTGAAAATAGCATTTTTTTTTGTTTGTTTCATATATTTTTAGAAGTAATGGAAGTAGAACTTCTTCATTTTTATTTACTTTTTTTTTGTTTGGATAACATTTGGAAATATTATTAGGAAGTAATTTTATCAATGAAAAGTTGTTAGAAGTAACTAATAAAGGAAATATTAATAAAAAAATTATTTATGTCATAATTAATATGCATTTCAACTACTTCCGAGCTACTTCTGAGTATTGAGGATTGAAAAAATATTTTAAAAGTAAGGATGACACGTAGGCACCACATAAGCATTTAGGGAAGTATTGGAAGTAAGTTTTTCAGAGAACCAAACACACTTTTTTACTTGGAAGTAGCAGAAGTAGCCTCTACTTCTTTTACTTCAGCTACTTCACAATTACTTCCGTACAAACAAATAGGCCCTTAATCTCTGATACTTAACAGCATGGTTTCAGGTAGGTTATAGAGTGTTTAGAGCCCTTAATCTTCTTTAGCGGTTGATTATTGAGAAGAGTGTTCGATCCTGCACACAAACAACGCGTAAAAGGTCAAAGTTGGGTTCTCATGTAGTTCCTCCGACGGTTAAGTTAGTGTTGATCTTAAGTGGAGGTAATATGCGTACCGTAGGTTTTAGAACAGAAATTGCGTATCTCAATGCTGTTGGCAATGCGCCTATTTATAGTAGATTCTGAAGGGTATTAATTTATCTAACTTTGCCGAGACCAAGCAGTCGGTTTGGTCAGCTGGTACTTTACAGGTGTCGACGTTGGGCGATCCAAGTCATCCTCCTAGTTATTGTTGCGGCGACAGAAAGGCTGCGACGTTAGCGTGCTTTGATGAGTCATTAAGACTCCAAGGGAGATGTGATGATGTCTTTAACTTTGCATTTAATGTGATGGTGACTGACTGCCATTGAGGGGTTTGAGAAAGGCCACCATTTGTCTCGGCTCTTGGAGGTGGGCTGAGAGGAGCCGCCTTTCAAATCGGTTGCTCTGAATGAGAGCATTCCACGACTCGATCCACCGATAGAAAATGCACGAAGTTGAACTTAGCAGTAAGATCCGAGAAATGACGCCTTTCAACTCAACCTTTATGGGGTTGGGTCGAATTGGCGTATATTTGGGATACATGTCATCTCCAGGAATGTGATTAACGCTTAGTCATTTTTATGATACAATAACTACAATGGGTCTATTTTCAATTGGATGATACTATAGGAGATTTGCTTCCAATTAACCCATTCATAACTTGAACAAATAGGCTTCAATTTGTGTAAAAAAATAAAATAAAATCAAACAATCTAATTCCCCCATCAGATAATTAGGAAAAGCTAGGTTTATAGTAATGAAAATAACTTGTTAAAATAACTTTTCCATAAGTTTTGCTTTTTTATGTGGGAGGTGATAGAGACTTTTTACTATGCGGAGAGCAAAACGACAAATAAGCAACGTGGATGAAGTAGTTACGGAATGAGAAATAATAGGGAACAGTTATTAAAAAGTAAAGGATAAACACATCCTTTATATTTCTCAGCTAACTTCAGAAAGGATTAGCGACACAGTTTGTTGCCCGCTTGTCATCATCATATGTGTAATATTTAGCAAATAAAGTTTAAATCTAAAAATATGAACCCGAATTTAATAAAAAACTAAAAAAAGAACATATTTTCGGAGCACCAAAGCAACGCAAGAAACCTTCAATCTCCCCGTACACAAAATATCTAGTATTGGCCGTACAAACTTGCGTCATCAGTCAAAGGCACTATTTGGCAACAAGAGACTGTGTCTTATCTAAGAGATTGTGTATTATCTAAGAGATTATGTCTTATTGACTTGGTCAATAAGCTAGTAGAGCTGTTTGGTGACAAAAAATAAGAGGAGATTATTTTGGAGATTGTGTTTTTTACAAGTAGCTTTTGAAAAGCTATCGCAAGTAGCATTTGTCTTTGGGAAGGAGCTGCTAATTTTTTTCTTCTGTTTTTTCCCCTAATAATTCTAATTTTATATCAATAATATTGCATGTCCTTTTTAGTTATTTAACAAATTTAAGCTAATTGTACAGCTACTTTTGCCAAATAGCTCTGTCAATTAGCTAGCTACACAGCTATCAGTTTTCAGATACAATTTCATAGCTTTCAGCTAGCTTAACAGCTTTCAGCTATAATCTCGCAGCTTTCAGCTAGTTTTGCCAAACAGAACCCAAATCAACTCGAACTTGCACCACCCCTTCACCTAATTGCATCATAATTCTCCCTTTAACCCTCTTAGGTACCTCGAGGGCAAAACCATCACCGAACATTACAGCTATAACCTTCTCAAATGAAGAGAGAGAAAGAGAAACAATCTATGATGGGTGAGACGCTCTCATGCCTGTTGGAAAGTCAAGAACCCTGATCCACGTCTGTTGGTCGCCAAGTAAAGTCTCACTATGCGTAACTGAGATCTCTGTATACATGAAGAATTGACGGCAGAGGGATTGGTGTTGAGGGTCTTAGTGTAGAAAACATCAGTACTGAAAACCAACGATTGTTCAGAACTAAGGTATAAGAATAGATGAATAAAATTTGTAAACCTAAAGGAGTAATTGTTGCGAACTATGCATTTAAAAAAAAAATTACTTCTTGTTGACGACTCAGGGCCCTTCAAGAGTCTAATAAAATGAAGAAAAGGCGAATCAAACTAATGATAACAGGCACCACATCAAACATCATCATACTGCTATAATGCTTGCGCATCCTACGCGTCTCCTACACCGAAAGCAGTAAAGAATATCCCTACTTGTTGCTCGACGAGGGGGTTGCCTCAGAGTTCAGGCTATTCCAACGCTCCAAAAAATACACACCTCCGGACATACAATAACAAATGATCCCCTCATTTTGAGACTGTGGGATGAATATTTTACCTGATGCTGTCATTTTTTTTCTTCCAGTCATGGTTATTATAAGCCTGCCATAAAAATCACTACAAATGAAAATCTAAATGCATACGCCAACATCGCACCATCATGTCACATCCGCAGAGCTATGCTAGAAATGAACAAAGGACCTACTAACCTACCCACGTTCATACAGAGCACAAACAATGCTCTCAGTATCCAAGCTTATACAGTGAAAGCCAAAACAATATTGGAATTCCCCTCTGTAATCAAATAGAAGTCAGCATCACATCACCCCATGAAAAATAGACATTGAGCTTATTTGCAGCCTCAACACTTAGCTTCATTACTAAAACTCATCGGCAAACAGAGAAATGCACAGAAGTTATCGGTTTTTTGAAGGAAAATACAATCACTTGAAGAACCCCTGAATCATAGTTAACCATTCGCTAAGAGTAGTTCATGTTGGCCCTTCACATAGAGAACAGCATCAGGTTTGTGAACAAACCTACATTTTGGTGCTTCTTGCCATTTCATCCACATCCAACTCCACCGCCAATACTGATGAATCATGGCTCATCGCCATGTGACTGGAAAAAAATAAAATAAAAATCAATGACAATAAAGTAGAAGGGTTGACAGTTATATGTACATATGCATGTCCCTAGATTAATGGTACACCACAGGCTATCTTTGGATAAGTACAATACAAAACAACATGAAAAATATTGCACCGATCCAAAGATTATTTTTTCTTGATGTGCCATTAATCCACTGAACATGGCCCATGGATACTTTTACTGGATGGATTGAGTACCTGTTCTGTACAGGTCCATGATCGACAGCTGATTGCAAGGCATATATAACTCGCCCAACAATGTTGCTCATAGGAACAGGGCCAAACAGCCGGCTGTCCTTGGCCTCCTGCCATTTGCCCAAAATTAGAATAATACACAAATTTTGTGCATTCAGAAATAAGTTTATACAATTTGAATGTGCGAGGTGATGCGTTGCAGTCGTATAATTTGAGCAGTTTCTGGATAAGCAATTTACAGTGAGAAGTAAGATTGTCCAGGTATCTACTGGTCAATGTCACTTCAAATATTTCTTAATATCCGAGTTGATCTTATGTCAACTTAAGTGAACACCAAGCCTTTGTCCACCAAAGTTTCTATCCACTCATTTATATATATAAAAAGACTCTTTATATCATGCAAGGATCCCTAGGCAACATGAGTGGATAGAAATTTTGGTGGACCATCCACTTAAGTTGACATAAGAATTGCTCCTTAATATCCAATATATTATGCTCTTCAGACCAAAATTAGAAATATCTACATGCACGCGATTCACACCAGGAAGTTGCATTTGAGATTGGGTTCATCAATTATGAGTCAAATAATCAAGAACCTCAAAAAAGACCTGGAGGTAGCTAGGGCTACTTCATTCTAAATCTAAGTAGCTAAAAAGCTCTCTGTCAGCTACATCGATTTCCTGTCATTCGATGCCCGTGCAAAATTTATGGGCTTACATATAACAAGTTTGTCCATGGAAAAAAAAAGATCTCAAGGGATAACATTTGCAGAAGTATAGAAACCCTCCATGTGCAGAAGAAAGAAAATACTGATGTTATACATGAGGATTACTTTTCTCTCTGAGTTCTTTCCAAAAATCAAACAACAACAGCAACAAAGACTTTATTCCAAAAATTTTGGGGTCGGCTACATGAATCCTATTCTTCCATTCAGTTCTATTATTGGCTGTCTCCTACAGTTAACTATTACCATGACCTTCTTAATTGCTTCCAACCAAGGTCTCTTAGGTCTATCTCTATAAATCTTTGCCCCATTAACTATAATATTATCACTTTTTCAAAAATCAGACCCCTCCAAAATTTCTGCCAAGTACTAAACAAGATATTATGCTGGAAGAGATACTTTGATGGGTGTATATGCTCCACAAATTTCTTTTTCACCACCATCTCAGTACAACTGCAAAAAGGCATTTATGGTGTCAGTGGGAAGCGGGCTACAGAGTATAGACACCTTTCCTTCAAGACTTCTACTGTCCTTATAACTTCAAACTGTCTATGTGATGATAGAATTATTAAGATGGTACTGAGCCACGCAAGGTTTCTATCCGATTAGACGGCACATTTTTAAGAAGATTATGAAGATATTTTAGTGACAACCAAAATTTCATCCTGCTGGAAGGGCGCTCGACCAGCATATTGAGTTTTAAAATATCAAATGTTATTTCCCTAACTCTCATCATAACTTCACAATTTTGTTGCAGCAGCAGTTGAAATAAGAGAGTAATGTAAAATTGTTAAATTGATACATTAACATGCGTACCATATAGGGATTTGTATGCTGAAAAGGGTCTTTCAAAGGAAGAAAATTCCCATTTATGATCTTTTCCTAACAAGGAGATTTACACAAATATAAAAATTTAACTGAAAATGCATAACTCAATCGCAAATGAAGGAAACAAATAGGATTACGTTGAGGCTCTAAAGATGACAACTTTAAGTCACATGTTATCATAACTCAATCAGTTCCTTTCACTATACATATAAGTTAATTTATATAAAGGGGAAGGCTTATTTGCTCCTAGGGCATATAACTAGCTTGGTTATGCCCACCTTCAAAACTACATTATATGTGATCAAGTACTTGATCCACTCTGTTCATTTCGATCAATATGCTTTGAATGATATATAAACAAAAAATTAGGCATATTAGGTTATAGTTACTTATCCATCCAGTGATTGTAAAATTAACGGTTTTATGACTATACAACTACACAGACAATGAAAAATGTGTTAGAAGTATTGAAACATCAAGATTCTTAATTCATAGATGTTTTTTACACATTTAAATTATGATGAATGGAGCGGATCATCTATTAGAATAGTCTAACGCATGCATCAAGAGGCTCTCCTGTGGTATTGTCAGAAAACCATTAATTTTTGTGACCACTTGATGCATGTGTAATATGTGTTCAGAACGTGTTATTTTTATTCGTAGACCTTTTAAGACATAGAGATCAAGATGAATAGAGTTGATCGTTCAATTTATTGCATAACACATATTTTTACAAGTGGGCATAACTAAGCTAGTTATGCCCTTGGAACCAATAAGCCTTCGCCTTATATAAATAATAATTGGAGATTGCTCAAAGACAAAACGGATGAGTTTTTTGAGAAATGCTAGAAGCAAATTTTGTTAAAGTTTAAACTAGTATTAAAATGATCATTTACCAAAAAAAAAAAATCAAGAATATAATAAAGACACAATGACAGAAATTTCAGATAGGTTTTCTGGTAAAACTAGGATAGATAAATTATAATTAGGTGTACCTTTGCCTTTAAAGATTCATTATCAGCCAACACCCAGCACTGATCCTTTTCTAAAATAAACGGTTCTTCTTTCTCTTCTTTGGAAACCATCTCATAGCCTTCAACGGCAGCCAGCCTTCGAACAAGAAAATCTTCAGGTTTCTCAGGGTCCTTCAACATAACAACATCGCCAATAAAGACTTGCCTACAGTCAAAAACAGGAATTATATATGAAAAACTCATAGAAGATACACAAAAATGATGAACTGAGTTTTTTAAACAATAAAGCTATGTCGTCACTTAAACACACAATACAGTGGGAAATACATAAAATAAATAAGTTTTCTATGATGAGATAGAAGTTTAATTTAGTGCATATTTTTTAAATTCTCATGAACAAGTTGCTGTTTGTCTAAACAGTAACAATACATAGATGTACAAGAACAAGGGAGATAAACAACAATTAAAAAAAAAACTTGAGACATCAGCCCCACCAAGCATTATGGTCATTTTGCCTTAAAACAGATGTGATAAGAAATGATATGATATGACATGCTAATTTGTTGCATTATTGAAATATCGTTCACTGGCTAGGGCAGTTATGCTTGATGACAAAAAATTAAAATGAAAAATGCAAAAAGGTACAGGGGAAGGAGTTGGCAACACTGTTGCAGATCTAAGGAGGGAGAAGGTACAGTAGAGAGGAAGAGATGGTTGTGTAGCAGTCACCTTGATACATGAAACCAATGTGTTACAATGGTTTTTCTTTATACCCTCACCCTTGCAATTATAGTAGAAGATAAGTGCTAGAGAGGTTGGGAACCTCTATTGCTATTTGAAATACTTATCCCAAGTTTAGTCAGCATCCTTTATGTAGCCTCTAAACTATTACATCTTGTTTTGGATTTAGCAACCACCTCTTGAATCAAGGAGACGGATCCGGTGTGAATCTCCAAAAGTATGGTTAACTTGCTTATAGCTCTCATAAACCTGTCTCAAGACCAACAATGAATAACTCATCAAGCAAAATGTTCAAGCTTGTAAGTGTCTTATCTGGTTATTAAGGTTGGTGGATAACCCATTTACAGGTTTTGTACTGGGCACACTTGAAGATGTGAAAGAGGTAAATCCCATATGTAAAAACAATGAGAAGAAATATGAACTAGTGATCGACAACATTTAGGGGAATGCAAGAGGCTAGCTTGTCAATTATTTGCATAGTGTCACATACTTCCTTGATCCCTAACACTACTATGGAGATGACGTTGTCTAAGACTCTAAATAGTGTATGTGTGCGAACTACTTTAATTGATGGATTCTTTAGGAGGCTGGTTGTGGTGACAATACGGTAAAAACTGGGTCTTAATTCCAGTGAATGTTTATTCTAGATTTTAAACTCATAATGATGTATAGGTTGATTGTTTTGTTGGTTTGCATCTTAGAAATGACTGTGATCATATGTTTACATATTCATTGTTGGTATTCATATGCTGTTAAGTGTGTGCACTGCTCAAGGTCAAGGGTTGACTGTTAGAATTCTTAACTTGACTACCACCTCCTGTAAGAGGAATTCAAGCACAATTGAGGAAGTAAGATACTAAATAAAAGCAATTAGTACTCATTAGTACTCGACTACCAGTTAAGTGAATTCCTGTGATTGGTGTATAACTTGGTTTTCATGTTCCTCAATCTTTTTTTAAAATTTAAAATTTCAATAGATCCACACCATAAAGAGAAATGATTTGGAGTCTGAGAGGTAGTAGGATCTTGTTTATGGCAATTTTTAAACAAGCTCAAGCTAAGAAATAGGGATGAATGACAAAAAGTTCTATTTAATTGTTTGCTGCTAGTAGGAAACCAAGCCACGACGTGACGTGATGATGACTAACTCACCTTCATGTGCTAACGAGCATTAACACCTAATAAGATTGTAAGATTGGCAGCAGATAGTGATGCAGCATGTGATTTAGGCTCCAAAGGGAATCAAAGAATATTTTGTGAGGAGGTTATTGGCTCCAATGATGAGATGACCAATAAGGAAGAATCAATGGGCATTTCTTTTAAGGAGAATAATGGCGATTCACCAGAAGGATCAGAAGGAGATGAAGTGTTGGCTAGTAAAGACTAGAAGTCGGAGTTAGATGAGGCACTAGTATTAGTATGTGTTTGCTTCTCACTACTGAGGCGTGTCACTTACTGGTTGCATCAATTTTGCTTTTTAGGTGCTGGATCTTATGCTTGGGGATTCTGCTAGATGATGATATGTACGTTTAACACTCAATAACATTATGCTTGTTATGTTACAAATTGAGTGTAGCAGTACCTTGTTACATGGGCTTTTTCAATGTGACAAAGGATGCGATAATACTAGATATATCTTAATTATGTCAGTAATCCTGGGTTGAATTGTGACCTGTGTAATACTTGTCATTGTTACTATATAAGCTGTTGCTTGTTAGTTATCATCCTATTCATTTTTAACATGTTCAGGAAAAGTGACGAACTGCATCTCTCTTCGTTCAAGGTAAATTTCACTTGTAAGTTATTATTTACACTACATTTTTGTTAATTCATTGGCCATAGTTGCTTGTTTCTCACTAAACTGTTATGGTCGAAGATATCTTATCTCTTAGTTGCTTCCTGTTTTCATTTGATTGATTGTGTAGTTAATCTTTTCAAGAAAAAGACTAGTAATCAAGTGATATCTAAGACGCTAGCTAGCAGGCATTCATCAGAATGACTGCTGGAATTCCTATGTACTTATTTACTATTTTCTGAGTTTTATTAGACGTCGTATTCTTTTTGTTTATTGATATAGTGCTACTATGTTTTTGGGGGGAAAATCCTGATTACCACCTACAACAATGCTTAAGTAGCGAGGAACTAGGCAGTAAACTGAAGCTCTGATGCTTAGATCCACCTACAGTTTATAACCATGAATCGTTATTAGCTCACAAAACATTTTATGTTACTGTTAGGCCCTAATAATAGGGAACATATATGTTCATATTTACCCTTCCAATTGACTTTCTTGATTCTTTATCATGGTGACTATTTACTAGAGAAAGTATGAATTTGCCTTTTCATTTGATCCCCGACATAAATGGTTGCTTGTCCTTTCTAAAGCTAAGAATAAGTTTAACGCTATAAGTGTTTGATCTAGTACAAGTAACAAATCCCCTTCCAACATGAGATGAAATGGCAATTGCGCAGTATATAGTTTGCTCTATGAAATAAGAAAAAAGTAAAAGAAAGGGAATAACTTTATACGTTGGAACCGGGAAAGCCATCTTTCTAACAAGAAGAGTTGTTCCCTGTCCTGTCACTATTGGTGCCATTTCCTCCCCTTTAGCCCAATGCAAGAATGTAAGCTTCCCCTGGAAGAAATTTTTCCAAATTGCATCGCTAAATTCTTTGGCATTGATCTGACCGACATTGTACTTCTGCACACAAATAAAGAAATTACTTAGGGAAACCTTCTTTATCAATAAGAGAAGACATAATCTGAAGATGCAGGAGTGTTTAACTGTTTATAAACATATTACTATAACAGAAAGCTTTCAGATGGCTGCCAGTTAGTTTAAAAAATGATACCACAAAAAACCAGAAAGCTAGAAAGCACCCTGTGCCAAAAGAAACATATTAATTCCTCATGTTAAAAGAAGACTTGGACATCTACGGCCTCTCGCTTTGTGCAAGAACCAGTTTCCGTTGAATATAAACTATTTGGTTTTCTGCATTTCTCTATCTGCACCAAAGTTTTAAAAATGAGAATTTAAATATGCTGAAGGCTTTACAACTTGCACTTATATACCCTCAGTTATGCAAACTTGAGGGTAGTTTAGTGTCAGTTTTACAAACTTAAGGGTATTTAAGTGCACACTTTTAGAACTTTGGGGTATATAAGTACACGCAACACAAGTGAGGCCCCCCCCCCTACACAACACACACACCCAACGTTACATTGTCATGTGCATCGGATTTGTGACTTTGTTAGAGCTGTGATTATTCATGAACTCAGTGAACCCATTGTATCCACCATTTTCCAAATCTTAGCATACTATTTATCTCGGGAAAGCTGAACATTAGTTAAAGCTGGATAACCCAAAAACTTCACTAAATTTATAAATCTATTTCAGTTCCATCGAGACCTTGTAATTATCAATTCAAGTCAATGTTTCCCTCAACTCCTTCAAAAACCATTGACTCTTATCCTTGCACATTACAAAATACATTCAAAAAACTTGCAAGGAAAATCACATGTTTCATTTTAATTTTCAAAATTCTCATCATTTCCTAACCCTA